GGGAAAGCAAGTGATCATTCAATTATTGACTGAAAAAGAAGGACAAACCGGAGCAAACAAAGGAGGGGGAGGATAGAGCCAACAAACCCGCCTCAATAAAATACTAGGAAACGATGGAGGCAGCGAAAACCGGCATTCAGGAGGAAGAGGTTGGAGACCTTGTCTTGTCCAAGGGGAGGATGGATGAACACATCGGGGGGGTTGGAATCGCGTCCATGAGAGAGGAAAGAGAGTGACTCAGTCGTCATGCTTCTGATGGTGGTCTTTGATAGCCACGTCAGCGGTCAGCACAAGACCAGATCCATTCCTCAGCACCACCCCCTCCCCCACCACAGGGCCGAAGCCACCCCTCCACCATAGTCCATACACGCCAACTTTCATTAACGGGTAACCCGGTCTCACTCCATCCCTTGCCAGAGAAGATCTCGCGAGACATCCTAGTAGCCTATGACCTGTCTACACACCCGGGTGCTATCTAGCCTAACAGTCTGACCTGACTACGGGTACTCCTGAGCTCGGTCCTCGGCGTTGAGCCAAGTAGGTTGGCGAGTGTCTGCCGGTACACTCGGAGGACTGTTTACGAAGCGGCGGCTCTTGCACACAGTCGCTCGGAGCTTGCGGAGTTGTGTGACACTGGAATGAGTTTCAAAAAGTCTCAAAGACTCTGAAATTCTCGGGTCTGATTTCAAAATCAGACTCGAGACTTCCGTGCGTCACACAACGTCGGTCCACTTGCAACAAGCTTGATTTCGATCCGTCATGACCCAGGAGTCACAAGCCTCGTATACATGCCCAACCATGTTGATCTCATGTCTGGTCAGTCATAATGTTTTCTGCAGTTTCTGTTTGTTGGTGTTTTTTCGTTTCTGCTGCAAACTCGTGCAATTCCATCAAGTCTCGTTACACACATTCGGATGACTCTTCTCTTCAATCAGGCTCCCTCTCTAGCCGCAAGTTGTTTCAAGTCAGCCCTATCACGAGTATCCCAGCCACAATCTGTTTGATCCATCTTCGGATGCACTCTAGGAACAACAAGCCTCTCTCCAGCCAGATTGGTCGGTCGGACATCAGCTACACTGCGGACCGGACATGAAGTTGCCGGAAAACACTGGGAGGTACTAGTCGATTCCGAGTCTGACTGTTATTTCAAGTCTCTTGATCGTCAGCTTTGAGTAGGATCAAATCAGCAACTCCCAGGAGACTGCGATCGAGGGACGTGTTGATGTCACAGAGCTACTGGTGGCTAGCCTTACACATGAGAGACTGCCGGAGCTACTGGTGCATCGGTGAGCAACTTCACTTGTGCATCGGTGAGCAAGCTCACTTGTGCATCGGTGAGCAAGCTCACTTGTGCATCGGTGAGCAAGCTCACTTGTGCATCGGTGAGCAAGCTCACTTGTGCATCGGTGAGCAAGCTCACTTGTGCATCGGTGAGCAAGCTCACTTGTGCATCGGTGAGCAAGCTTTCTATGTGACAGAGTGATCTATGCAAGATTGC